TGTGGTGAGCGTCGAGGTCGAGGCAGACGTTGTTTTGCGGGCACAAGAGGTCGAAGGAGGGGAAGGCGAACTCTGGCGGCTGGAAGTGCTGTTGGCGGGCGTGTTGTTGGCGCAGCAGTTGCAGCGCCTCGAAGATGAGGTCTCCGAACTGCGGACAGACGCTCGTGAAGTACTCGCGTCGCAGTTGACACAACTCGAAGCCCGGCATATGGTTGTAGAGGAGGTGCGCGACCTCCAAGTCCTGGACGCCGTTGTGCGCGGCCCACGTTCTTATCCAATCGGAGACGTCGTGCGGCTGCCACTGTTCGGGCGCTCTCAGCGTCCAATTGGGAGCCGCGCACTGTTGGTCTTGGAAGCCGCCGAAGGCCTCGTCGAGCGCGAAGTCGGAGAGCGGGAGGAGCGCCGAGTCGGCGGCGGCGAAGACGTCGAACGCGTGAATGGGTTCCATGGCGTGGAAGTCGGCGTTGGATTGGCGCGAGTCCGAGTCCGCGAAGTCGAGGAGAGTGGGCGGCGAAGAGAGCGCGGAGTTGCCGTTGAGAGTCAGCATAGCGTCGGCCGTTGGAGGTCTGCGTCGCGAGCGAAGAGCATTTGTTGTCAACTATTTTTAGAGAAAGAGTTTCCAAATCTCGAGAGCTATCGAGGGGTCAGTTATTGACGACAGGTTTGAAATGAGAGCGAGAGTTGAGTTTGAATTTGTGGTCAAAAGAGCTTTAATGCGAAAGTAAGTGGTTTTGGGTTCGCGTGACGAACACTCGTTTGGGACGAATGGCCGCCAATTGGGTCACCGAATGGCCGCTGAGAGCGCGCAACGGCCGCCGCGGGGATGCCTTCGGGCGACAGGAGAGCAGTCGAGTGGCACAGAAAGCGAGTGCACGACTGACCCCAAAAGGGAACGAGTTTTGGGAGAGAGTGATAGAGAAGTAGTGATAGAGAGGGAGAGAGAGAGTGATAGAGAGGAGAGCTTTGGATTCACTTTTCATTCACTTTGAATGCAATCGAAGGCCAGAGAAAGTGAACCGCAATTGAAGGCAAAGAAAGCAATGAATGTTTTGGGGTTTGGGTCACGAGAGACAACACTAACACTGATTTGAAAGTTTGAATTCGAGTCAAGAGTTCGCGAGATTTGGGTTAAGTTTGACTTACAGTCGACTCGACGCGCGTTCACAACAATCACTACTGCTGTCGACGAGCGAAACACCGGCCAAACAGTGCATCGCTTGCGTCACAGCAGACGTCAATTGCAGCGCTCGCTCCCATTGGCTGCTGGAGAGCGGACGGTCCGCCCGCCCGGGCGAGGCGGCGCGCCTCCGGAGGCTCAGTCAGGGATTGCCTGTGCCTTCACTGCTGGCGTTCATTCACTCGCAGCGCAAAGGAAGTGAGAGTTTGAGAGGATTTCCGCTTTTAATAGAAAAATACAAAACAGTTTGCGAGACACTGAACAGGCAGTCATTGGCTGATGCGCGCGATGTGACACTTCTGGCACAGGAGGTGACCGTTGAGGGGATAACACGTGCCGTCCGTCAGTTGGACGCGACACTCCTCGCACTGATAGCAGTCGATGTGGAAGTCCTTGTCCATCGACACCACGCGCACCGTTTCCTCCGAGCCTTCCAGCGGAACGATAGGCGTCTGACAGGCAGCGCACTTCGGCGCGAAGAGCTTGTGGTAGTCGTTGACGCAGAAGATGCGGTTCTGGACGTCGACAGTGAAGGGAACGCCATCGAGACACTCGTTGCACTGCTGGCAGCGGAAGCAGCCGGGATGGTAGCTCTTGCCCATCGCCTGCAGAATCATCTCCATTATGAGGTGTCCACAGATGGCGCAGCGGTCGGCCGTCTGTTGGAAACCGCAGTACAAGTAGTCCTCTTCGCAGTACACCTTTCCCAACACGTTGTAGAAGGCTTTCCCGCGGAGGGGACGGCCGCACGAACAGCACGTGAAGCAGTTGGTGTGGTAGAGGTTGCCCATGGCCTGACACGCGTCGATCACGCCGTTCACGCGCTCACAGCACTGGCAGCAGATGCCGAAGTACTCGCCCTTCGGCTCCTCCAGTTCCATCTCGCGCTCGATGGCGCGCGTCAGCGCCTCCACCTGCAAGAGGGACGGGTGTTAGTGGGTTCGGGTCAGAGGCGTGGCTAATAGTCTACTGATGTAGACGTCCCGTGGACTCGCCTTCTTCTCCGCTTCGGTCATTCCTCGCGGTCGCGGAGGCGTCACTTCGTAGGACAGGAGAGCGCGCGACGAGTCCTGAGTTTTTGACTTCACTTTTGTGGTCACGTGTTGTGCGGAAACGGGCGTCAAGTCTGCGCGCAATTCAAACTGTGAGTCCATTGTTGTCGAGACCGCAAACACTCACCGATTGTGGGCTTCGGCAGCGGAAAGGCCGCTCTCTTCGGGACGGCGGTTGTGGGCGGCGGTGGAGGCGGGCGTTGGGGTCGCAGGTGTCGCGTCTGCGGAGCGCCCGACGGCTCGAAGAGCGACAGGTCTTTGAAGATGTCTTTCAAGTCATCCATCGTTTTGTTCGCACTTTAGTCGCAGTGAAGGGCGAGAGATGGCGTTCGCGTCGACGCAGACTTACGACCACTTTGTCCGCAGTTTTGCCGCAAAACGCTTTCCAAACCCTTTCCGCGCGACTTCTGCTGTCCTTTGGCCGCAATCGGCGACTGTTTCGGCGCCCGAAACGGCCAATCGGTGGCCGCGGCCGACGGGTGTGGCGGTGACCACCTCTGGACGCGCGGACGGCGGACACGAGTGAACACAAGTGGTCGGCCGTCGTCTTCCGTGTCGTCCGAAACCCGCTCTCCGTTCGCGCGAAGACTGTTTGCGATGTAAACAAATGTGAGGCGAGTGTTGAGCGCATGCGTCGACTGACTGGTGGCTCGTCTGCGCCATTGTTTTCCTCCATTTGCGAAGTGATTGTCTTTTCTGTAAACAACTCTTCAGTCAATGAACGGCCAGAAGACGACTCTTCAGATGAAAGACAATACGGACCACGAGTTCGACTCGTGGCGGACGTCCTCGCAGTCGCATTACTCGCACTCCTCCGCTCTGCAGACGAACCAATCGTCGGATCCGTACGCCATGTCTTACTATCCGACGGCTGCGATGTTTCCGTACTCGGAGTCCATGCCGTCGTCGCAGCCGTGGAGTAATGGCGCCGAAACGGTCGCCTTTCTCGGCCAATACGCAGACGCCGGCGCCCACCAGCCCTCGCAAGGTATGCCACGTGACAGCAACGGACAGCCTCGGCTCACATCCTCTCCTCCTGTCCTTCAGGTCACTACACGATGGAAGCGATGTTTGGATCGCAGACTTCGTATCCCTTCTCAAACATGGCGTCTTCGATGCCGTCGACGCCATTCAACGCCTTCTATAATTCGGACCCCTTTTGGGGCAACAATAAGGCGCGCCCGCAGACCAACGCCCCGCCCGCCGGCGCCGCCTACGGGCGCCAAATGCACGACACGCCGGACTACTCGTCGCAATACTCGCACCACTCGGCTGGCGATCACTACGGACTCAATGACCAGACCATCAAACAAATGGAGACCGGAATCGCGGGTAACCATAGCGACGGTGTGTTTGTGTCCAATAGACTAATCGCTAATACTCTCCGCAGCGCTCACTCTCGACCACATCAAGGCTTCGGAACAGTTCGCCAACAAATCCGGTAAAAAACGGCTTTCCTCTGCGCCAAAGCCTCTAACACTCTCTCTCCCCCTCTGAAGGTGCGTTCGGCGACTCGAAGAAGTTCTCGGACTCGATGTCGATGTCGGCCGTGGGTTCGGTGCCGAAGAAGACCACGTGGGCGTCCATTGCGTCACAACCGGCCAAACCGCAGCCCAAGAGTCTCAAGTCGAAGATGTCGTCTTCCGTTCTCACGGGCAGCACTTCCAAACACTTGCCGCCCGTCCAGACCATCGCCTCGACGGCCGCTTCGATGGACGCCATCGGCACGTGGGAAGCGAAGAACGGGTCGGCCGTCAAGACGCCGCCCGCCGCCCATTCCCACTCCCAACACCACCAGAGCCACCACCAACCCCCGCCGCCGCCCTCGCAACGCCCCGAACGTCCAGCCCCGGCCTCCTCCCAACAGCCCGCCCACCACCACCAGCCACCACCACCGCCGCAGCAGCAGTCGTGGGCGCGCGCCCAGCCCCCGCTCCCGACGCCCTCTGCGCGCGCCGGGGGGGACGGCGGGGCGGGAGTGGGACCACCGGCACTTCCGGCGCATCCCGTTCTGGACAAACTGCGCGTTGAGAACAACTACAACCCGAAGGAGTTCGACTTGAATCCGCGAAACGCGCGCTTCTTCATCATCAAGAGCTACTCGGAGGACGACATCCACCGATCCATCAAATACTCGATCTGGTGCTCCACAGAACACGGCAACAAACGCCTCGACACCGCCTTCAAGCAGCACGAGAAGACCGGCGGACAGATCTTCCTCCTCTTCTCCGTGAACGGCTCCGGTAGGGAACGGGATGCTCGTGTGGGTTGTGTTGTCTCGTGTGCTGACCTCTTGTTATTCGTAGGCCACTTCTGCGGGATGGCGCAGATGACGTCATCGGTGGACTACGCGTCGTCGTCGTCGGTGTGGGCGCAGGACAAGTGGAAGGGCCAGTTCCGCGTGCGGTGGGTGTACGTGAAGGACGTGCCGAACGCGCAGTTGCGTCACATCCGGTTGGAGAACAATGAGAACAAACCGGTGACCAATTCGCGCGACACACAGGAAGTGCCCTTCGAGAAGGGAAAGGCGGTCATCAAAATCATGCATCACTTCCGACACACGACTTCCATCTTCGACGACTTCCTGCACTACGAGAAGCGCCAGGAAGAGGAGAGTCAGCGCCGAGTGCCGGAAGTGCCGTCTGCGCAGCCGCCGCCGCCCCCCAAACGGCAGTGGAAGAGCCGGGAGGGCGCGTCACGTGACTCGTGAACTGTGTTTGTGTTGTGTTTTTCGGACAGTCTTTTGAACTGAAAACAAATTCGCTTTTATTTTAATTTATTTTCTAAGAGCGCTCTAATAATTGTCAATAAAAGGATTCACGTCTCGAGAGCGCAGATGTGCACGAAATTGTCGCAATGCGCGAGATGCCGGGACACCCACTGAACCGGGGTTTCCGGCGGCACGCGGATCCCGTGCACCAATAACCGCAGTCCCGCCGCCTTCTCCGCCCCCAACGCCAGAGCACACAACTCGCCGAACGTCGTCTCCGCGCCCGACTCTGTGCGCGGTTTCACGAGTTTCTGGCGGACGGAGAGGTCGCGCGCGTACACGCGGAACGGGATGTACCGGAAGTCGGTGTCGGCCGCGGCGAGCGAGCGGTTGACGGCCCAGAACTGGTCGAAGCGGTCGTTGGAGAGCCCGAGCCACAGCTGGTTGTGGTCTCGGCGCTGAAGCGAAGACATCACTTGCGATCGGTTCCGAAGAGCGTCCGCTTCCTTCA